ACACATTGGTATCATAAGGCCAATTCGTATGTCTGTGGGAGAAACTTAACTACAAATCCTAGGACTATCAGGAGTTAAGCAAGGATTACTGATGGAAGTTGTTCGACTTCGTTTCCGCAACTTGGTCGTGTTGTCAAGGCAACATAGTTGGACGCACCTTGTCCGAAGTCCTCTGTTATCGTAGTTATGATCATTTCCAGCACACCAAGTCCATGTTATGAGGCTGAGAATCATCAAAACTATTAAAGCAGAGGTTGCGACCGAAATATGAGCCACAATATCTTGGTATTCATAACCAAGGATTGCTAATAGTTACGATACGTAAATACATGGCATATCGTCAAGTTGTTTTGTTGCAGATCCGATCTCGCATGTATTTTAGCACCCCCGGTGAAAATCGAACCCAGGTCTGCCCTTGGGTCACAGTTCAGAAGTGGATTTCAAGAAAGGCCAGGCCTCTCTAATATCACATTAATAGTGGGATTTACGAGAGAAACTCGTATTTCTGCCATTACAATTGAATAAGTTATCTATATTCATAGAAAGTAGGTCTCAAAACCATCAGAAGATCTTGTTTTGCGTAAATAACCACAGATAAAGTGTCACATCAAAAGTAAACGCCGACTGACAGCGTAAAGCAAGTAGCAAGTGGTAAAGTGATTCAAAATAGCAACAATCCGAATAGACTAGATGAATTTGAGGCAAGTATGTAGTTCCTCGTTTCGTTATGCGAAAAATTCTTATTCGTCATCTTATTTAATATAGATAGGAAGGCATCTAGAGTAGCCAGGATACCAACATGCTCGAAAAGCATTAGACCACGATTGACGGAGGCAGACAAGTTGAGATAAAGCCGACGAATGAAAGATATGCCAAGCTAACGGGCAATAAGGCCAGGTTGGCGGTTAGGCTCTATTGTTGGGCGATTATAAAAAGAGAATGAGAGGAGATTATTCGAAAGTTCTTATCAAAAGGGGACTAAAAGACAGAGCGGTGACTGAAATGCGGAACCAGCCAGACACTCAGATAAACAGCCAGCCAGCAAACCAACTAGCCAACCAACCAACCAACCAACCAGTCAGTCAGTCAGTCGCGAAGACCCAAAAAATCCTTGGCCAATGTGACTCGGCTATCCATTCTGAAGGAAAAGTTGTTTGGAAAGAATTCATGAATTGGTTTCCCTGCAATCCGAAGGAAGATCGTCCACCATGGAGTGAGCTCTGTTGGATTGTGCGTAGAAGTCTATGGCTCGCTCTCCCGGCACATTAATCAACACATGCTAATTTTTGTCTGTACCACTTTGGTAGTAATCGTCAAAGTAAGTATACTTTAAGGAACAGTGCAACAATATACTAAACCAAGTGAATATTAGTGCGCTATTTCGTAAAGTATGTTTTCTTGCCTTGATGAAAGTTTACCACGGGTTCATCGGGACGGCCGGACGGTGAGACGAGAAGGTTGTCCGCACAATCCAACATTCTTCACTCCAGTGAGACTAATTCACTAATTCATTCTAGCCACCTTTTCCTTTGAAGTGGAAGGGATTACCTCGTATCCACAAAGCCCAGCCCAGACAAGAGCCTAGCCCTCAAATGACCTGCTCCCTGTATGCCGCGATGCTCTAATCGAACCGTTTGGCCAGCCCAAACGGCCTTAAACGCACCCCTCCTGGCCCAGTTGTTGGAAATGGTCGAGCTGTAGCGCAACGTTGCCAGTCCTCCCAAGACACGAGGCCTCGGTCGTCAAGTGACGAGGGCCGGACTCGCCTCCTCGATCAGCCACAACCTGCTCAGCCTCAGACTGCTCCATCGAGAGCCAGTTCTGAGGCTGATGATGGTAATGCCGTCGTCCAGTTGCGTCAGTGGGAGACGCCAGCTGGCCGCCTAGCAGGCCATGCAACTGGAGCTGGTCAAAGAGGAGCCTCTCGTCGGAACAGTGATGCGAGTCCTGATAGATGCCAGTCGACACCAACTTCATACGTCCGGGCAGATAAGACGGGACCGATCGGAAGTCCGAAGGCAGCAATACCACCACTTCAGGCTCCTCATTCCTTCTGCAATTCACTTCGTCCATCTGCTCACCCATCGCCCCCTCTTCCTCTTCTTCTTCCTCTTCCTCTTCCTCTTCCTCCTCATCTTCCTCCTCCTCTTCCTCCTCCTCTTCCTCCTCCTCTTCATCATCAGCACCCTCAGCATCATCGTCATCAGTGCCATCATTAGCACCATCATGATCACCTTCGACCATTTCAGAGAAGTCGTCGCCAAGCATGGATGGAATCAGCTGGCCTTTGGCCAGCGGAGCCGCCTTGGGGGGCTCCTGATCTAGCGGACCCAAAAGGCCCAATGTTTCAGCAGACCAACTCTCAGTGGAAAAGACCGAGGGCGAAGAGAGCTCATCGCGAACGAGGGCGGAGAAACCGTCACTGCCGAGAGGGTAGAATTGCACACTCGTCTGCGACAGGCCTGGTCCTAGAGCCAGGCTCCAAGTGTGCGGATTCGAGGAGGCCGGCCGGATGATAGAAGCCGTAGTACCAGTGAGGCCTTCTAAAGTGGTCAGGCTGCCAAGGGAAGAGGCGATCTGTGGCGGAAAGCTCGGACCGCAGGACTGCAGACTGTCAACGGACATAGTTGTCATGGGCACTGCCGGGGTCCTGACTGGCGTGGAGTTGCCAGAGCGTGGACTGACGCGTTGTGAGTTGTCGGTGCAAGAGGAGGAGCAGGAGAGCTCAGTGAAAGAGGCGGTGGAGAGCGGCAAAGAACCGGTCTCTCTGGCCGAAGGTAGGGTGTCAAGACCGGCCGGGTAGACGATGTAGTCAAAGGAGGTGTTGGCCTCGAGACTGAGTTGCTGATCGAGTCGATCGACGAAGCAGGAGGCCGTCGGGATGGAGTTATCGTCGAGGCGTGTGAAGAGGTGCTGCGAGACGGGCACGACTTCGGCGGCAGAGGTGACGACATAGGCGGCCGCCTGAGGAGGGTTAGCGAAGACGACGCCGGGCTGAGACAGGCAAGAGCAATGGTAGCAGGCCGAGTGGTCGTCCTCCATCTCGAGATCGACAAACCCTGTCGCCAGAGGCGGAGTAGAGACGGACGCGTCGACGCAGAAAAGAGAAGGTCCGACGAGCGATCCGTAGGACGGAGTGTTGACCGGAGTCCCGACGAGGGGAACCAAGTTATGGGGGAAAGTGGCGGACCCGGCAAAATAGTTCATCCTCAGAAGGGATACAGTCTACGACGAGTAGATGACACAACCAGCGGACCGATGTCGACTCACCAGGGCAACCATAAAGTCGACAACGAAGGAGAAGAGGCAATTCCGAGTAGGGCAAGGCTGGGATCTAAGACAGACGGCGGGAGAAAAAGGGACCACGGTGGACCGGAGCAGCGAGGGGCACGGTCAAGCTGTCCGAACGAGGTGACACCTCAACATGACTCAAAAGTATGTATTTATATCTGGTTGCCTTGAGTTTGGGCTAACCCAAAACCAGCCTGCTCATCTCCAAGGTGAGGCTGGAGAGCAAGAAATAGAGCACGGCTTGACGTAATTAAATGAGTAGCCGCCGTTCCAGCTACATGGGTTTCCAGACGGTACTGAGCCGATGATACACATATACCTATATATATATATATATATATACATACACACATACACATGAGCACACGCATGCATACATACATACATGCATGCATACATACATACATGCATGCATACATACATACATGCATGCATACACATACACATACAGTCAAGACGAGGCATAGAGAGGCACAGACACAGAGATGCTCGGCAATGCGTGCCGTGTGCACAGAGCACGGAGCTACCGGCTACATACATGAGCACTCAAAACTCTGCTCTAGAGCCCGCCTGAGGAAAGATGGAGACGGGAGTTGAAGAACGCCAGCGTGCCGGACAGTTTCACCTCTCTCCCCCCCTTCGATATAGAAGAGGCATGTGAATGGCAGTAGTGACGTTTTGTCTGTGTGCTGCTATGTGTAGAGGTAAGTGTGAGCACGAATGCATGTACATAGGGACCCAGATATGCATATTAAATGTAGACATGCGTGCACACACCCTGTATGGCCGTGGTATGGCTGAGCCAAAAGAGAAGAAAGCATGAATCTAGAGGGGCACCCCATTCCTATTATACTCGACCAATTGATTGTTGACTCGCTGATTTTATTGTGTAATTGACTGATGGAATAATTGGATGGTTGAATGATTGGCCGAGTGACTGGCCGACTGATGGGTGCCGGTGGATCAGATGGTCTCGTGACTGACTCTGAAAGATGGCCGGCTCCTATGGCTATTTTTGGCCTGGTTCGCTGAGGCAACCAAAATAAAGTGTCGTACGAAGATATCATCTCTATTTTTTATCCGCCAACTTACCCGTGTCGGGGTTGAGATGGCGGCTGGCCGCGGAGAT